AGCAATGAGCGGGTGCCGCCAGCTCCTCTGGATGCTGGGAGGGCTTCGATTGCATGTAGAAGGAAGGGGGGAGGAAGGTGAAGGAGTACAGGGGCAGCAGAGACCGTGGGGCCAGGTCAGAGTCTCACCTTCACTGCACACTCTCCCTCCCTCCGACCAGGGCTGCAGCCCAGCCGCTCCTCTCCCTCTCCCCTCCTGCTCCCTCTCAGACATGCCTTTGAGACAGCCCTCCCCCCTGACGCCCATGGTGTGTTGGTGAACACAGGGACCCCTCTGAGCCCTTCGTTCTGAGGAAAGGAGCCCCAGCTCTCTAGCCCCTCACCCCACCCCCACTCTAGCTCCTGCCAGGTTTTCTCCCCTTGACCATTAGCCTTGTAGAATGAGTGTCTGAACCCCACTTCCTCTTCCCCCATTCTCTCCTGAACCCCCACCAGCCAGACTATCACCCCCCACTGCTCCCTGAGAGTTGCTCCTGGCAGGATCCCTGCATTGCTGGAACCCAAGTTCCTTCTCTGTGGGCCCCTTGGAGAGCTCCACACCTGGCCTGACATTTCCTTCTCCATGTATCCCCCCAACACATATCACATCCTGGTGGTGAGAGGATGTTGGCCTCAAACTGACTCTGTCTGCTTCCCCCTCAGCTCAGACCCCAGAGGTCCCCGAGCTTCCCCCAGGCTCACACCCCGGAGATCCCAGAGCATTCACTCTGCGAGGCTGTGGACAGGACCAGGGAACAGAGGGGTCAGCCTGCTCAGGGACTGGACTTGGGTGATAGGAGGTCCCCTGGTGGGAGGTCACGGGCAGTGGTAAAGGGCCTTGAACTCTGCAGAGACCTGGGGGCAAGGAGGCCAGGGGGAGAATTCCCCCAACCTTTCCCCACCAATGCATCCCCGCCCCACAGTGCACTGTTCTCCCGGCCACCACTACAACACCACCACCCACCGGTGCATCCGCTGCCCCATCGGCACCTACCAGCCCGAGTTTGGCCAGAACCACTGCATCACCTGCCCAGGCAACACCAGTACCGACTTCGACGGCTCCACCAACGTCACGCACTGCAAAAGTAGGTGCTGTTCTCCCAGGGCGGGGAGGGGGGGCTGGGGAGCTGGAGCGCTGGGAGGGGCCGGGGGCAGGGACATCCACCCAGAGCCCCATGGTTTGGAGGCTGTGCCCAGCTTGGCCCACTCTGTGGAGCACCGTGATTGCACTTGGCCTTCATCAGTTCCTTCGCTCCTGGGGCGGCTGCACCTCTGAGCCAGGCCAGGCCTGCTCCGGGCTCAGGTCTGTGGAAGGAAAGTCAGGCCAGGCAGGGAGGCTGTGGGCAGCTGTGAAGGCTCCCAAGTGGGGGAGAACCAAACCTCCTGAGCCCCAGGAAGCAGGGTGCTAGGTGTGCTCTGTGTGAACCTGCAGGAAAAAGACCAAGCGCTGCTTATGTCTGTAAGAGACTTAGTTTAACCAAAGAGCTGTGGGCAGCATCAGGCAGCTGGGGAATAGACGATGGATGTCCCAGACCCGCACCTAGAAGGGGCTTTGGGCCTAACAAAGAAAATGCTGTCTCATTTTAGGGATTTTTAATTTATTTCTCAGTGCTATGGGATGCATGTTCTGGTATTTACCCTGTCCCCACTCAGTCCAGCCGGTTATTCCTTCCTGGGGCTGCTGGTCAGGTTTAGAACAGCCTAAAGGCCCTTAAAAAGGTGGGAGCTGGTTCCTTCAGTCCTGGAGGTGGGAGCTGCCCCTCTGCCTAGGGCTGTCCCAGCTGGGCCTGTGGCCCCGGGGCAGGAGCAGACACAGGGGTGAGTTCAGCAGACAGGGTTTTAAATGTCCTAGTGAGTAAAACTGGGGGAACCAAGTGAGAGGGAAGCTTCTGAAATGAAAAGGTGAAAATGAAATGTTTCCCAGAAACTGGTGTGAAGAGAGGATTTTTAAATGAAAATGTGTGAGAAAATAACATACATATCCAATATCTGCGTTCAATTCTCTTTGCTTAATGAAGGTGATTTCCTTCATAAGGTTGAGACTGAGAACCATTCAGCTCATAAAAATGCCACATTGGCCTCGAGGATACACAGCTGAGCTGAAAAGAAAGCAGCTGTCTTCCTCACCCCTCAGCCTTCCTGCCTCACGCAGGAAGGGCACCACGCCTGGCGCCTGGCAGGTGATACTGAGTAACGGCATGAACAGATTGGGGAATGGAGACAGGAGGGAAGTTGGGGTTCACGGGCTCTGACAGCTGCAGGGCCCGGAGGGCACCTGCCAGAGGGCCAGGCGGCCTGGACAAAGCCCAGCTGCAAGGACTCAGGTGAGGCAGCCGAGGGGGCCCAGCAAGAAGGAGAGGCTTGCTGGGCCTCAGAACCAACACAGACTGGGACCTGCCCTCCCGCTGATGCAGCCCCGGTGAGAGTCCCCAAGAGAAGACCAGCTTAGGCCTAGCTGGCTGGTGGGGAAGGCCAGGAGATAGGCTAAAGGGACACGGAGCACCTGCCGACCTCCAAGGCTGCTGAGGGCCTGGCTGGCCAGGGTACCATACCAGCAGGGCCTGACCAGGCCTTCGGCCACGGTGCCCACAGACCAGCACTGCGGCGGCGAGCTTGGTGACTACACGGGCTACATCGAGTCCCCCAACTACCCTGGCGACTACCCAGCCAATGCAGAGTGCGTGTGGTACATCTCGCCACCCCCCAAGCGTAGGATCCTCATTGTGGTCCCCGAGATCTTCCTGCCCATCGAGGACGAGTGTGGTGACGTCCTGGTCATGCGGAAGAGCGGTACGTGCAGTCCAGGCAGGGCCCCAGCCACACGCCCACACCTGTCACCCCTGGGCATGGCTCCTCGGGAAGGGAGGAGGTTACCCAGGGTTTAAACCCACTCTGTCTGACTCTGAGAGGTGGGCTTTATTGCTCCATGGAAAGGTCTGGAAAGCGTCGTGTGTGCCCTGAGCATGGGAACCGAGACCTGGTCCAGTCTGGTCTCAACACTGGCCACACACCAATCTCAGTTGTCCCTGTGCCCTGCCACCACCCAGAATGAGACCCTGGGAGTGACCACAGACCCCCTTCCTCTGAAGCTTGGGGCGGGGGGGCAAAGGGCCAGTCTGTGCCCACACAGAAGATGCCCAGGGTCACATAGCCGTCCCTCCCCTCCATGAGCCCAGCCTCCTGGCTCATCGCCCCACCAGGGGCGTGTTGTGAGACTTCAGGTGGACCCCGGCCACGGTGAGGACAGGTGTGTGCCCAGGTGGCCACAGAAGCCAGCAAGGCAGAGCTGCCCTTGAGTTCCCCCAGGGACCAGGCTAAATTCCTTACATGCTGCTGTTGTGGGGCAGCAGTGCCCATGGGCCCAGCTCCGGGTCAGGGGTCAGGGGTCAGGGAAGAGATGAGCACAGGCCGCTGTAGAAACGCACCTGCACCCCTGGGCTTGGTCTGTCTCTGATACACAGAAAGCATCTCAAGCAGTGAGGGGCTGTGCCCCTTGTACGCTCAGCCTTTGTTACCATATCCCACTCGGTGCAGCTGATGAGCCAAAATCCCTAGTGTTCAAATAGAAGGACTGAGGCCCCAAAGAGCCAGGAGCTGCCCAGGGTCCCACAGTAACTCGAACCCAGCCTGGGACCATGTCCCCTGCCCATACTTGTCACCAGCCCCCCACCCCCTCCACCCTCCCTCCACTGTTCATGTACAGGGTCAGCTCTAGGGGAGCCAGCCTCTCCTGCCTCGAGTGTACCTCAGGAAGGCTCCTCAGGGAGCAGTAAGGAGGTGGGCACCCTGGCCCTGGCTATGTGCTAGGTGCAGGCATGAGCCCTGTCCTTGAGGGGCAGGTGGCAGGAGACAGTGACAACCCTATAGAGAGAGGCTATAATAAAGGGTTCACCAGAGCAGAGCAAGAACATGGTAGGGGGGCTGGAGCAGTCAGGGAGGCTTCCTGGAGGAGGGGGCATGGAAATGGGCTCAGAAGGATGCAAGTAGGCACTAGGGTCCACGATGGGGAAGGGCGTCTGAGGCAGAGGGCACAAGTGCAGAGACTAGAGAGCTGGAGTCCTTGGGCCTGTGGGTGCTGGAGGCTGACTGGTGGGGAGGCGGGCAGCCTGAGGAGGAGGAAGACGGGCCAGGTGAGGAGCAATGGCGTCTTCACCCCCAGCCTTGCCCACATCTGTCACCACCTACGAGACCTGCCAGACCTACGAGAGGCCCATTGCCTTTACCTCCCGCTCCCGGAAGCTCTGGATCCAGTTCAAGTCCAATGAGGGCAACAGCGCCAAAGGCTTCCAGGTGCCCTACGTCACCTACGACGGTAAGGCGGCCACACTGTACGCCCAGCTCGGGCGGCCCTGGGCACACAGAGCCGAATCACCCACCTCAGCCTCAGGGAGCCCCAGCCTGGGGTGGGGGGAGGGGGGCAGGCCCATAATGGGTCCGAGGCACAGATGAGGGAGCAGTTAGTGGGGTCTGTGGGCTTCAGCACAAGGTACTGCCCAAGCAGGGCTTTGAGGATTAAATAGGGGTTTTCTAGCTCACCAGACCTTGAGGAGGACAAGGCAGGGCTGCCTGTGGCCCGCTCGGGAGGGCAGCGGCTGCAGGGGAGAGGGCCACAGGTGGGTCTGGCGCCCTCACCTCCCTTCCTTCCGGTGGGTTGGCAGAGGACTACCAGCAGCTCATAGAAGACATTGTTCGTGATGGGCGGCTCTACGCCTCGGAGAATCACCAGGAGATTTTGAAGGTGAGTGAGGATGTCTGGAGGACTTTGATAAGCCGGGATGATGCCTGCAGGGGTGGCCATGAAGCCCAGAGAGGAGTGATCCACCCCATCACACAGAGGAGAATTAACTTCAGAGCGGAGAGGCCTTCCCAGCTAGAGAGCTAGGGAGTAGGTTCTGGAGCCACAGTTTCTGACCCAGTTCTGCTGGCCCCCAAGCCTGTGCTCTCTGCTCCGTGTTCTGGTTGGCGACATGTGTTTTGTTTTGCAGCAGAACCCTTATTAAATAAAGTATTATCAGAACCCAAAAGTTAAACTTCTTATTTTTGTAAGTTTATTTGAGCCAAACTGACATATGTCAGGGAACCAGATCTCAGATGCACCCCCAAAGGCTATTAAAAAACCAATTAGACAGTTAAAACTAAAAAGTATTTATCGCAAAGAGGATCTGTGGGGTCCTGAAACCCACCAGCCAGCCCAACATCTCCCCCATCCCCACACCTTTACAGACACTCACCCCCCCTTCAGGCCGCTGGGCACTGTGAAGAGGCGGGTGACGAGGGCCACCAGCCCAGCACTGTGGGTACCCAACCTCCGCCCCCGGCCATGTCTTTCAGGACAAGAAGCTGATCAAGGCCCTCTTCGACGTGCTGGCACATCCCCAGAACTACTTCAAGTACACGGCCCAGGAGTCCAAGGAGATGTTCCCACGCTCCTTCATCAAACTGCTGCGCTCCAAAGTGTCCCGGTTCCTGCGGCCCTACAAATAGCAGGTGCAGCTGCCTGCTGGGAATGGCCAGTGTCCTGAGGGGGAGTGGGGGGGAAGAGAGGGCCTGCCCCCGCAGCAAAAGCTCAGAAGTGGCCCCACAACCTCCACGTCACCCTTATGGCTGCCCTTCAGGAAACACTGACCAGCCCATGGAGGGCACGACCGCGCCCACTCAGAGACCCCAGCCCAGCCGCACTGCTCCCATCGCTGCCCCGTGGGACAACACTGCTTAAGGCAGCCTTTCTCCTTCCCTCCCTCCGCCTGTTTGTTTCCAGGACAGCGAGAGTGCCCTCTCCTGGGCCAGGCCCTCTGTGCTGCCAAGCAGGAGGGCAGCCCTGGCAGAGCACGTGTGGGAAGATGGTTCGTGCCCCTCGAGTGACACCTCAGGAGAGAGGAGCGTGGCTGCCCGCCTCTGTGAGGCTCTGGGAAGTGTAATCAGAGGCAAGAAGCCAGGCCCTGGAGAGAAGGGCATGTGAGGGCTTCTGGAGGCTTTGATAAGCCGGGTGATGCCTGCAGGGGCGTCCACACCCACAGGCCTGGGACAAGCCCTGTGGTCAGGCTCTGGGGACTCTGAGGGGACAGAAAGAGCTGCTAGGGGAGGAAACTGTAGATTTGTGCTTTCCCTTGATAGAGCGTCTAATTAAGTATTATATATGTACAAATATAAATATAAATATATATATACTTCTATTTGTGGGTACTTCAGGGAAGTGCTCGTCAGTAACTAAATACTGCGCCCCCACCTCGTCAGTCAGCCAGTGCAGCCCAGCTGTCACCGCTCCCGTAGCTGGTGAAACTGCTTCTCCAGGCCCTGCCGCCTCTGTTTCTGTGAGGCCCAGATCCTTTGGGGCTGGGAACCAGGCAGGCTGACCCTGGACACACTTGGAAAACGAGTTCTTTGGGAACTGGGCTCTGTCCGATGCTTCACTGGAGTATTGCCCTCAGATAGAACGTGGCGGGAGGCAGGTTCCCCTAGAACCCCTTCCTGGGGGAGCAGGGGCGTAGTGGTCACCTTCAGAAGGGCCCATGTCTGACCCTGAGGCCGTGACTGTGGGGTCCCTGCCAAGCCCTCATGCCACCAGAAGCAAGGCCTTTCACACACGAGCACAGGCTGTGTGACCACGGGGGCCTCAGAGAGCAGCACCCACTCCTTCCTTTTCCTCCCAGGGAGACAGGTGGCCAGCCCAGGGTCCGAGGCCCAGCTCCCAGCGCAGCTTTCTCTGCTCTGCCACATGGCCTCCCTCTCCGAAACTGTTTAAAAAAGAAAAGTCTGGAACTGGACCCAGTTGCCTGGAGTCCCCTCAGCCTGGGGTAGAGTGGTGAGGACCTGACATGCTGGGGCTGCCTGCTGGAGCCCTCGGGCCCCAGCGCAGGGAGTGACAGGGAGTGGTCCGTGCTTTTAGGGTTAGCAAGTATTCAGAATCCCAAGGAACATGGGAGGATCTTAAAATGAACCCCACCCCACCCCCAGGCTGTGTG